CCCCAAAACCCCAAAACCCCAAAACCCCATATCTCTTCCTAAAACTGCACTTCTGTTAATAATAATTCTTCACAAATAATGAGTCTAAAGGGTCGGTCAGGGTCTCTGTCGCCGGGATTGTGCAAGGTTTTGGTACTGAATGCGAAGATGAGGGATGGATATGAAGGGTATATTGGCAGTAATTTCTCGCATAAGTAATATTTGAAAAGTAAGTACGAAAGGGGATTTTAAGGGAGTTTTGTGAAGGAGAGTTTTGATGATGGTCTTTAGGGGAGAGTCCTATCGAGAGAATTATGAATCCGTACTCATCTTGATGTAAGTCTGGAGGGTTAGGAAGGTTTAGAAGAGAAAAGAAGGGAATAAGATAAAGAACATTTAGTAGCCTGATTAAGGACAAATTTAAGTCATTTAAAAATTGATCTAATATTATGAAATATAAGTTGGCTACAAGAAATAAGGTATGAGAAAAGCAAGTTCAAAACCTACAGGAGCATAAATCTCTTAAATGTCACTACCAGCTTGATTGCATCAAAATTCTGATCAAACTTTTGGGATTTCCAGAAGTTTCTAATTAAATTTAACATTATAGAACTTTGGAAGAAACAGAAAGGATTCATTGTCACCCAAAAATGTGTATAACTTAGTTGCGAGAATTCCAAATCAGAATGAAACTGTATCAAGGAATTTAAAAAAGATGATGAAAAATAGCAAGAAGGCAAATCAATATCAGAGTAATGCATTGACACAGAATCAGAGTGCTATTTCTATTGAAGAGAATGACATTAAGGCTGAAGTTGATACAGTACCCAAGCCTGAGCTTCCTTCAAACCTGAGACTCTTAGAACAGAACAGTGAATGTAAAGGCAAAAGGGCTATCCAAGAGATTACCAGATTTCTTCAAGGATCTTCTGTATCAGTAAGTAATCATCTAAAGAGTAACTTCTGGAATAAATTTTTGGCTTGAGAACAGGACTGAATTGAAAATCTAGAATGAAGGTCCAAAAGTTGACTTCCAAAACATGTAAGCTCTTCCCTCACCACAGCCACTCGATCACACCAATATACCAATCATGGAGCCCGATACAGCCCCTTCCCCCATACCTCCGGAGCCTTCTCTGTAGCTCACAGATCGGCCATCGGCTAAAGTACCCTTATCCTCAAAGAAAACCCAATTTTGAACAGTTAACCACCGAGAATATTATCTCACGCAAGTCAATGTCAGTTAAGAGATTACAACCGGTTAGGAGGGTAGAGGCTGTTAGAAGGTGAGTTTGAGGTTTATAGTAAAGAATTAAGAAGAAGAAGTTAAGAAGGAATGGAAATAAGGTGGGCTTTTGGGTTGACTTTTTAGTTCAAGGTATGGAGTTTGGGCGTCGTTTTAGGGTGTTGATGTGGTATTTGGGAAGGCTACTGATAGATTTGGATATTTCAAAGCTTTCTTCAGCAAAAAAAAATTTGTTTTGGCAGACCAAGAAGCCTTCTTATTGCTTTAAAGGTGAACCTAAGTTTTTTGTCATGCTTTGGAGAAGCTCCAAAGGGATGAGAGTCAACAGTCTATTTGGACAATTTTCAGAACCAGACTAATACCACACAAGGAACAAATTCATGAATTAACTTTACACAATAAAATTTTCTAGTTTCAATGAAAATGTGATATTATGGGGTTTTGGGGTTTTGGGGTTTTGGGGTTTTGGGG